GAGAGGAGTATGACTGCTCAGAGCTCCGGTATGAAACTGCAGAAAAACCTGAGAGTCTCTGGATTAAGTTTAGAAGTGTGAGTAACAAGGGTGATGTCGTGGTGGGAGTCTGCTATAGACCACCAGACCAGGGGGATGAAGTGGACGAGGTTTTCTTCCGGTAACTAGCAGAAGTTACTAGATCACAGGCCCTGGTTCTCATGGGAGACTTTAATCACCCTGATATCTGCTGGGAGAGCAATACAGCTGTGCACAGACAATCCAGGAAGTTTTTGGAAAGTGTAGGGGACAATTTCCTGGTTCAAGTGCTGGAGGAACCAACTAGGGGCAGAGCTCTTCTAGACCTGCTGCTCACAAACCGGGAAGAATTAGTAGGGGAAGCAAAAGTGGATGGGAACCTGGGAGGCAGTGACCATGAGATGGTCGAGTTCAGGATCCTGACACAAGGAAGAAAGGAGAGCAGCAGAATACAGACCCTGGACTTCAGAAAAGCAGACTTTGACTCCCTCAGGGAACTGATGGGCAGGATCCCCTTGGAGAATAACATGAGGGGAAAAGGAGTCCAGGAGAGCTGGCTGTATTTTAAAGAATCCTTATTGAGGTTGCAGGAAAAAACCATCCCGATGTATAGAAAGAACAGTAAATATGGCAGGCGACCAGCTTGGCTTAACAGTGAAATCCTTGCTGATCTTAAACACAAAAAAGAAGCTTACAAGAAGTGGAAGATTGGACAAACGACCAGGGAGGAGTATAAAAATATTGCTCAGGCATGCAGGAGTGAAATCAGGAAGGCCAAATCACACTTGGAGTTGCAGCTAGCAAGGGATGTTAAGAGTAACAAGAAAGGTTTCTTCAGGTATGTTAGCAACAAGAAGAAAGTCAAGGAAAGTGTGGGCTCCTTACTAAATAAGGGAGGCAACCTAGTGACAGAGGATGTGGAAAAAACTAGTGTACTCAATGATTTTTTTGCCTCTGTCTTCACAAACAAGGTCAGCTCCCAGACTCCTACACTGGGCATCACAGTATGGGGAGAAGGTGACCAGCCCTCTGTGGAGAAAGAAGTGGTTTGAGACTATTTAGAAAAACTGGACGAGCACAAGTCCATGGGGCCGGATGCACTGCATCCGAGAGTGCTAAAGGAGTTGACGGATGTGATTGCAGAGCCATTGGCCATTATCTTTGAAAACTCATGGCGATCGGGGGAGGTCCCGTATGACTGGAAAAAGGCTAATGTAGTGCCCATCTTTAAAAAAGGGAAGAAGGAGGATCCGGGGAACTACAGGCCAGTCAGCCTCACTTCAGTCCCTGGAAAAATCATGGAGCAGGTCCTCAAGGAATCAATTCTGAAGCACTTAGACGAGAGGAAAGTGATCAGGAACAGTCAGCATGGATTCACCAAGGGCAAGTCATGCCTGACTAACCTAATTGCCTTCTATGAGGAGATAACTGGGTCTGTGGATGAGGGGAAAGCAGTGGATGTGTTATTCCTAGACTTTAGCAAAGCTTTTGATACAGTCTCCCACAGTATTCTTGCCAGCAAGTTAAAGAAGTATGGGCTGAATGAATGGACTACAAGGTGGATAGAAAGCTGGCTAGATCGTTGGGCTCAACGGGTAGTGATCAACGGCTCCATGTCTAGTTGGCAGCCGGTATCAAGCGGAGTGCCCCAAGGGTTGGTCCTGGGGCCGGTTTTGTTCAATATCTTCATTAATGATCTGGAGGATGGCGTGGACTACACTCTCAGCAAGTTTGCAGATGACACTAAACTGGGAGGAGTGGTAGATACGCTGGAGGGTAGGGATAGGATACAAAGGGACCTAGACAAATTAGAGGATTGGGCCAAAAGAAACCTGATGAGGGTCAACAAGGACAAGTGCAGAGTCCTGCACTTAGGACGGAAGAATCCCATTCACTGTTACAGACTAGGGACCGAATGGCCAGGAAGCAGTTCTGCAGAAAAGGACCTAGGGGTTACAGTGGACAAGAAGCTGGATATGAGTCAACAGTGTGCTCTTGTTGCCAAGAAGGCTAACGGCATTTTGGGCTGTATAAGTAGGGGCATTGCCAGCAGATCGAGGGGCGTGATCACTCCACTCTATTCGACATTGGTGAGGCCTCATCTGGAATACTCTGTCCAGTTTTGGGCCCCACACTACAAGAAGGATGTGGAAAAATTGGAAAGAGTCCAGCGGAGGGCAACAAAAATTATTAGGGGGCTGGAGCACATGACTTATGAGGAGAGGCTGAGGGAACTGGGATTGTTTAGTCTGTAGAAGAGAAGAATGAGGGGAGATTTGATAGCTGCTTTCAACTACCTGAAAGGGGGTTCCAAAGAGGATGGATCTAGACTGTTCTCAGTGGTACCTGATGACAGAACAAGGAATAATGGTCTCAAGTTGCAGTGGGGGAGGTTTAGGTTGGATATTAGGAAAAACTTTTTCACTAGGAGGGTGGTGAAACACTGGAATGGGTTACCTAGGGCGGTGGTGGAATCTCCTTCTTTAGAGGTTTTTAAGGTCAGGCTTGACAAAGCCCTGGCTGGGATGATTTAGTTGGGAATTGGTCCTGCTTTGAGCAGGGGGTTGGACTAGATGACTTCCTGAGGTCCCTTCCAACCCTGATATTCTATGATTCTAACTTAGGTCGACTTAACCCTGACTTAACCCCATAGTGTAGACCTACCGTTAGTCTCTTAGCTGGTAACGTAGCCACTCAACATTTGACCCTTCGGCTCTATTATTCTGCGTCAATGTCAAGCGTTGAGGAACCTGGACCATCGGACTCATTTGGCATTGCCAGAGACGAGGCTGGTCCTATGTCTCTTACCACTGGGTTCCCAAGGAAAGTGTGAGGATGCTAATTTAGGAAACTTTTCTACAATGGTACCACATGTACCCCCAGAACTGTATTATTTTGGGATCTTCTGCCATGTGTGTTGGTGGAAGGGGTCTCCTATGTGAGAATATTTGCATCATGAGAAACACCTCTTGTATTTTCACACTTCTTAATCTTTCAAAGTAGGAGGAGGTAGAGGAAAAGTGATGCAAATCTGTAAAACACAACAGAAAATCTAAGGTCTGGTCTACACTACAGTCCTATATCAGTATAACGACATCGCTCAGGGTTTGAAAAATTCACACCCCTGAGTGACATAGTTATACCGATCTAACCCCCTGCGATGGGATCCTCGGGGTACAGCCTGGCACTGTGGGACCGCTGTGCCTCCTTCACTCTCCTGCCTGGGTTGTCTCTCACAATGCTATGCCAGTGACAAGCAGCAAACCCCGCCAAGCGCTGTGATCGCACAGCCATCGGCAGGTGGAGCCCCGCACCCAGCTAAATTGCATGAATGCTCCCCGAGCCACTCATGAAAAATACGGAGAGGCACCAGCCAATCGCCCCAGCCTTACACCCCAGAAACATACCGTCTTACACTGCTCAAGACTCCCTTGGACAGTGCAAGCTCATTAATTTGCCACTTCTTCAAAGGAACATGGACATGCACCAGCCTTTATATCCTGAGCAGAGATTCCCCAAGCACTTCAACCAAAACCACACTGGTTTAGGTAAAATATAAAACAGATTTATGAACTACAGACAGATTTTAAGTGACTATAAGTAGCAAGAATAGAGATAAAAAATTGGTTACCTACCAAATAAAAATAGAAACACAGTCTAAATTCGAACGTTAACAAAGCAAGATTTGAATCAAACAGTCGCTCACCCTAATGGACGTTACAGGCAGCTCACAGTTCTCAATACTCAGACTGAACTCCCTTCCAGCCTGGGACCAGTCTCCCTAGTTCAAAGTCTTTGTCCTTCACACAATCTTCCAGGTGTTGACAGGGGGGGAAGAAGCCAAGTGCTGATGTCATTTTCCCTTTTATACTTCCAGCTGGTAGAAAGATCCTTGCTGTGACATTGGTTAGGCCAAAGACGGCACACGAGCCGATTTTTAATGGCACGCTGCTACCTGCCGCCTGCCGGGGTCCCGGCCCCACTGAGCCCCCCCGCCCACCGCTCTCTCCTGTGGGGGCAGGAGGCAGAAACATGGTCCTGCCGGCAGCCAAGCTCCCCCCTCCCCCGCTTCTTCCCCCAGCGTGGTGCTTTCCTGCCCCTCCTCCTCTCCTTCCCTGTGCCAATCGCCCTAGCCAGGGGGAGGGAGAGCCGAGCCGCAGCATCCTTGCTGCTCCGGGGAGGAGGCAGAGAAGAGGTGGGAACAGACGGGGCCCTGGGGAAAGGGGTGGAATCGGGCATATCCCCTCCAGCCCCCTGCCGTGAGCCACTCATGGCAGGGGGGCTGGGAGCACCCCCCTGAGCCGAGCACCCCAGCTCTCTGCCCTGAACCCCCCCCACACCCAGCCCTCTGCCCAGACCCCTGCACCCCACCCCACACACCCAGCCCTCTGCCCTGACCCCTGCATCCCACCCCACACACCCAGCCCTCTGCACACCCCCACAACCCCAGCCCTGACTTTTGCACCCCCCCACATACCCAGCCATCCCACACCGACTCCTGCACCCCCTCACACACCTCCAGCCCCCGTTCTGACTCCTGCACCCCCCCACATACCCAGCCCACCCACACCCCATGCCCTGACTCTTGCACCCCCCCACATCCCCACCCCCACCCTGAGCACCAAACGGGAGCTCCTGCACCCCTCCCCACATTCCCATCTGCACCCCCGGTCTGGGGTCCCAACCGCCGGCCCCGCTCGGCCCGCTGCCGGTCTGGGGTCCCGGCTGCCAGCCCTTTGCCAGCCGGGGTCCCGCAGGCCCCGCTCAGCCCGCTGCTGAACTAGGTGAACAGCACCCCAGGCCGGCAGCGGGCTAAGTGGGCCAGCGGCGTAAGATCAGCATTTTAATTTAATTTTAAATTAAGCTTCTTAAACATTTTGAAAACCTTGTTTACTTTACATACAACAATAGTTTAGTTATATAATATAGACTTATAGAGAGAGACTTCTAAAAAACGTTAAAATGTATTACGGCACGCGAAACCTTAAGTTAAAGTGAATAAGTGAAGACTCGGCCCACCACTTCTGAAAGGTTGCCAACCCCTGGGTTAGGCTGTCCCCACGGCATATGTTCCCTCTCTAAGGAGCCTCTGGGAGAGTGGATTCTTCTTGGTGGGCCATCAACGCCTGTCTGGCCAGTGATAGCTTCTCCCCTTGTTGCAGCAGAAAGGCTGGCTCCGGGCGTTTCCTAACCTCACAACGTATTTCAGTAACACATAGAGCAGTACTTCACAACTTCACATACAAGGATCATACCTACAATTCAACAAGGTATTAAGGTTCAACAGACCAAGACTTAAAATGATACTTCACAAGGCCTGCATTGTACAAAACATGTCCATCATATGACAGTGGTGAATATGGGGATTCCAGGGTGCTTTGAGGTACAGAGTATTACCCCTCCCCCCTGTGTACACAGGGCCATATCAGCGGGAGAGCTTCTCCTGCTGACAAAGCTACCGCCTCCTGGGGAGGTGGATTATCTAAGCTGATGGGAGACCTCTCTCCCTTCTCCTTAGAGCTTCTTCATTCAAGCACTAGTGGCGCAGTTCCACATGTGCAGCTGTGCCGATGTAGCATTTTAAGTGTAGACGAGCCCTAAGACGCAAACCCATAGATCAGAACTCTAACATTCATGTATCCCGCAGTCTGCAATTGGAGCCTGACACACTCATTCCCTCATTGCTTACCATCATTTCCACAGCATGGAAGTGGCAGCCAGTTTGGGATTCACAGGGAAGGAATGTCCTCGGAAGGACTCTCTCTCTCTTTGCCTCATGAAACTTTGGATCCAAACGGTGAAAGATGATTGTTCTCAATCTAACCCTGGCATCCTTTGAGACTGTAATCGGTGACACTTAACTAGGAAGTGGAGCTGTACAAACAATTTTCCTTGGGCCATTCGTCGCCATAGCAGCCTTTACTGGGTGAAAACTAAGAACTGGGTGTGTACTATTTCTGCCCCCCTTTTTTTTCCGAATCCTTGGCCTTGGCTAGGGTACATTTACACTTCTCTGAAGTAGAACCCTTTACCAAACCACTCAAAAATCTCAGCAGTGCTAGTGCGGAACGGCTTCCTCAAACATGCCCAGTGTTTCTTTAACTTAGGAACTAGCTAAAGGCCTGGACCAGAATCTCGGTAAGTTACCAGAGGTGGAGTTTCTATTCAAAAATAGATATTTTTCTGCACCTATTCTGCAGCTTCAGCCCCCCCATATGGCAGGACTTGGGGTGCAGCTTCATTTCTCCCCCAACACACACACACACACACGGCAGGACTCGGGTGTGGCTTCATCCACTCTGCAGAGCAGAGCTCGGGCTACTGCCCTGCCGCCTGGGGCTGAAGCTCGTGGGCTTCAGCTTCCATCAGGGGGAGGGGCATGTCATGGATTAATTTTTGTTGTCAGACGGGGGTCACGGTGCAATGAAGTTTGAGAACCACTGGCTTAAACAATTGAACTCCACTGTGGTCATCTGCACTTGCTTCAGTTAGTTGGGGTTCTGCTGTTGTTCACCATTTCCCAGTGGAGATTTAAAATCACTGCTGCTTCTTTGTTAGCATGTCCAGTAAATTGGAGAGTTCTCTCCTGTTGACAGAACTGCACATGAACTTTCTCCACATCATCATGGAGGGGTGGGGAAAAAGCAATGCTGAAGTGAGAAGTAATGACTTTAGCAAATGGTCATTTGTCTCAAAGTCTCTAATAAATCTGAGCTACGTCTCATCAAAGTAAACTAATATCCAATTGGGCGACCAAACAACTTTTCAGGAAAGATAGAAACCAACATCACAGAGAAACAGAATACATGACAGTGAAAGTGTCGAGTGAAATTCCAGAGCAGGTTACATCTAATAACTCAGAATTGGGATAAGAGATTCTCCCACCACACTCTCCTCTGATCCATTCAAACCTGCTTCATTCAGCACTGTCGAGTTATGTAATTTAGAAAAGTTTTAGCATTTTAGTATCATCATAATGGAGGAAAATACAGCCAACCTTCCCCCAAGTGGCTTGGCCAATAGTTGGAAACTGGGATTTAAACTGCAAATAATCCCACTGTGTTTGGGATTCATTTGAATTCCCCTTCCAGGTCTTTGACATTTTCATCTCCAGTCATAGTGACTCTGATATAGGATTAAAGAAGTCAAAGCGTCATCTCCAAACACAGACAGCTGAGAGCACTGCATCACATGACACTTTGAGAAGTAGAGGGACAGAATGTGATGAAGATAAACTCTGCCTGGCTCAGAGAGGAGGTAACAGTTCTGCAGTGATGGGGAAGGAAGGAATCTCTGTGAGTCACCCCATCTCCTTCCAGTGTCACCGAGGCTGAAATGACACGTTTTTCCCTGCCACTGCTCCTCTTCATTTAAAATACATTTAAATATAACGGGGGGAAAAGGTCCAAAAATAACGGCTCTTCAGCACAACCCAGAGCAACGTGAGAACAACTGAGAATGAAACAATCTGTATCATTGATGACCCTAATAATAATTTTGCAATAGGAGGAACAGTATAAATGTGATGCTCCTTGTTTCCTTGAAGAAGGGACGCACTCCCATTACTCCTGGGACAATGGAGTTGATAGCAAGGACAACCGGGTCCACTCCAAAACAGGGCGAAATGCAAAAGGCAAAAATGGGCAACTCCTCTGGACAAGCTGAGGGATAATGGTGCTGCAAACGGTTCAAACAGACTTAAAGGTTACTATATGGAAATTAGCAAAAGTATTAAAGAAAAAAATGTCTGGCTAGCCTGTGAGGTTTTTATGGTGTTTCTCTCCCTTGCAGATTCTCTGATGATATTTAAGGGATGAGCTCTGAGTGAACCTTGTCCCACACTCACGGCATTCATAGGGCTTCTCTCCTGTGTGGATTCTTTCGTGTCGAGTAAGTTCTGACAGCTGAATGAAGGTCTTCTCACACTCACAGCACTCATAGGGTTTCTCACCCGTGTGGTTTCTCTGATGTCTAATGAGGTGTGAATGCTGAATGAAGGTTTTCCCGCACTCAGAGCATACGTAAGGTCTCTCCCCCGTGTGCATTCTTTGATGTATAATGAGGTCTGAGCTCTGAGTGAAGCTTTTCCCGCACTCACCGCATTTATAGGGTCTCTCACCTGTGTGGTTTCTCTGATGCCTAATGAGGTGTGAGTGCTGAATGAAGCTTTTCCCGCACTCACAGCATCCATAAGGTCTCTCCCCCGTGTGGATTCTCTGATGTCTAGTAAGCTCAAAGCTCTGACTGAAGGCTTTCCGACACTCACAGCATACGTAGGGTCTCTCTCCCGTGTGGATTCTGTGATGTTTAAGAAGGGCTGAGCTATCCGTGAAGCTTTTTCCACATTCACCGCATTCATAGAGTCCCTGCCCAGTGTGGACTTTGTGATGCTTAGTAAGGTGTGAGCTGTCAGTGAAGCTTTTTCCACACTCCCTGCATTCATAGGGTCTTTCCCCTGTGTGGATTCTCTGATGCGTAATAAGGCTTGAGTTGTTAGTGAAGCTTTTCCCGCACTCACAGCATTCATAGGGTCTTTCCCCTGTGTGTATTCTCTGATGTCTAATAAGGGATGAGCAGTGACTAAAGTATTTCCCACACTCAGGGCATGTAGTTTTTCTCTTTGTCCTGAGGATTTCCTGCTGGGCTGTGGTTTCCTTCGAGTCCTTGTGAGTTCCCCAACAGTAAATTAATTTTCCCATTTTCTCCCCTGGCTGGTTTCCCTGCTCCCTCTCTGGTCTGTGCTGAATCTCACAGGCTGTTCCCTGCTCATGACTCCTGGACACATCCCCTTTCAATCTTTGCAATAATGCTCTGTGTGATTCCACTTGCTCAGGATCTTCCTGCTGAGAATTCTGCTCCTCATTCTCACTCACCATCACCTCACCTGCTGGGACAGAGAGAGAAACCTCAAACAGGGATGGAAAAGGGAAGAGCAAACCAAAACAAGTGCTGGAGAGATGTCAAATAAAAACCAGGAACTGAACTCCCCCCAAACTCTTCCCCCAAAGGGAATCAATTTGGCCTTCACATCCCATCTAAATACTCAGTGGGAAGGGAAGAAGCTACTGACAGATGTCAGTTAGGATCTGTAGTACGCCATGAGCTATATCTTCCCTGGGGATACGACACCTCCTGGGGACAATCCTGAACTCAAAGAGCTCCCAAGGTCTTCCTAGGGTACACCAGATATCAACTTCAGGCACTTAGATTCTGAGTAGATTTAATGTTTCCTCACCTGTGCAGGGATCTCTCAGGATCTCCCTTTTCTCTGAACCGAGGAGGTCTGGGACCCATGGCTCTTCCCTTCCTTCCAGCTGGGAGATCACATCAGGTTTGGAAACTAGAAACCCTGCTCAGATGAAAGAAAACAAATGAGATCAGGTGAATTCCTAAGACTCTGTCATAAAAAACAGTCTAACTCCAGTCCTTAGTAAACCATTGAAATCCCAGGGCCACCTCCTCAGGTTCTCAAAGGTGCAGAACACTCTGCTTATGAGGGATTGAACTACCTGCATATCTGCTGGGAACACGCACAGACAGACAATGTGTGACAGTCTGTACTCCTATGTTCCCGCTTTTACAAAATTATCTATTTTGTACAAATTATGCCTTGGGAGGGATCATTTGAAAACTCATAATCCGCTGAACATGATCATCCTGTTAAGCAACACGGTATGTAGTTATGAGATTTTACTGTATGATGTTACTGAAAATATTACAATTCTGTGGAACACCCTGAGACTGGTTCCTCAGAGACAGCAAAGCTATCACCTGGTTAAATGGCCATTCTCCGGCCAGGGGAAGGGTGAACAAGAAATTTACATTCCATCACAAGGACGGCTTGAAGCTCACATCCACAACAGACAGCCTTTCACCATGATTCAGCTGAAAACTGAAGATGTTTCTAGTGCAAAGGACTGAATTATTAAAAGAGGTGAGAAAATTGCTTGAGACTCTCTCCCTTTTCTCTGTGCTCATGACATCAACGCCTCCTGAAGAATTGAACTTGGGCAGCAGGAAAGGGTGAGGGGAGCCCTGGCTGAAAGGAAAGCCAGCCTGTCACAACATGCGGTTAGAGAAAGACATTTTAGCTTGTGAAGTTAGACGTCAGTTTGTGTTTTATCTTTTATTTCTTTCGTAACCAATTCGGAATGTTATGCCTCATTACTTGTAGTCACTTAACATCTTTTCTTTCGGTAGTTAATAAAACTGTTTTATCTAACCAGTGTGTTTGGATTAAAGAGTGTGGGAAACTCCATTTGGGATAACAAGGTTGGTGCAGGTCATTTTCCACTGATGAAATGACAGACTTTATATGAGTATCAGTAGTGTGCTGGACACTGCAAGAAACACATTTCCGGGGGAAAGTCTCAGACTAGTGAATTTGCTAGTATTCTCCCCTGGAGTAATTTCTAAGTGGCTGACTAATATAGTGTTTCTCAAATGCAGCCACCAGGGGCTTTTCTTACCACCACAGCATCCTGGGTAGTGATTCGGGGAAGTAAAGCAGGGATTGGGCCCTGTCCCCTTTCTGGGCATGGTGAGGCTTGGGCTTCAGCCCTGGGGTGGCAGGTGGCAGGCTCTGGTCATGGGGGTTCAGGCGCCAGCCACATGGCAGTGGGCCCCATCCCCGGGATTCCAGCTGTCGGACCCCAAGATGCAGCTGTGGGGCTTACGGCCCCAGCCTGCGGGGGGTGCTGGTCCCAGGCTCAACACCCCACATCTCCCTGGTCCCTGCTACCTCCTCCGTCTTCAGGCTCTGGTCCCAGGCTTCAGTTGTGCAGTGGCAGGCTCTGGCCCCAGGATACAGCTATGGGGCTTCAGGCTCTGGGCCTGGCCATGAAGCAGTGGGTGCTGGCCTGGGCTCAACCCCTGCCCCCCATTGCCCTGGCCCCCGCTAAGGGCTCCAGGCCCCTGCTGCAGGGCTTTGGGCTCTAGTCCTGGGCTCCGGGCCCTGGCCGCACAGCAGTGAGTGCCAGCTCCAGTCTCACCCCCCATCAACCCACCACCCCCAGCTTGCCAGGGCTGAGTAAGTCTGCTGTGAAAATTGATATTTATAGGTTTGTTAATATCACTTTTCACAGCAGACTTAGTAGCTAGCGAAGAGGCTGTGAAAAGTGACATTAAGAAACATACAAATAGTACTTTTCACAGCAGCCGACTTATGACCTAGCAAGTCTAGGGGGAAAAAAGCAACCAAAAATGCAAAAGAAACAAGAACAAAAGACAAGAACTTGCAAAGCACCTTATTTGTGTTTCTCTGCTGTTTAGGTCCAGTAAAGAATAGAGACAACTATATATTATTTTATTACTGAGTCTGCAAAAAAAACCCTACATAAATTACAATGATCTGGACATGCACAGGTGCCTATTTTTGTTTTTCCTAAAGTTAATTAAGTATTTTAGGAAAAATTGTCAGAGCGGAGGCCAGCAAGAGTTCGTGGCCGCACTCTGAGGCCACCAAAATACGTGTTGTGAGAACCCCTGGGCTAGCAGCACCCAATACTGTGCAGCGAGAGTGAATGACATGCTGGAGCCTGTGGGTTAACTGGCCGGGAGAGGCTGTTCTCACAGCAAAGCAGTGTAAAAGGCACCCCGGGTTGGGGAACTGAGAGGAAACAGCTGTTCAACAGTCCAAGGGTAATGTCACAGTGGCGCTGTGAGAAAGATCTATGCACAGCTTGTTATTTTAAGCACTGGTATAGTGATTTTAAGGGAAACTCAAGCGAGGTGGCTGGAAACAGTTAAAGAAAGGTTACAGTTTGTTGTGTTCTGTCTGCTTACTTTGGGAAAGGGAAAATGAAACAGTAAAGCATAAATATGAGCAGCGACAACTGCAAAGTTAGAGGCAGCAGGAAAAGTACCAGCTCTGGCAGGCAGAAATGTGACTGAAAGCTGCACTGGAAGCTGAAAAGCAAAAAGCAGAAAGATCTCCTGTGAAGGAAGAGAGCCCAAGAAGGTGTTATCGGTGTATCAGTACCCTGCTGAAAGAAACCAAGCCCCAACCAAGCCATGATAATGGGCTAATGATAGCTGCAAAAGCCTCGGAGGCGTCTGAAGCCTACCTGACACCTTTTAGGAGAACTGGCTCTGCAGATATGGAGCATATTAAGGTTGTCAAAATCAATGGGCAGGCATCCGTGGGATGGAAATGTGATGGTGCACAGATTTCTCTGGTTAAACAAAGGGTGGTCCTAGAGACTGACATGGTACCTGGTCAACTGGCAGAACTTGTGTTAACAGGAGGATCTAGGCTCCTTGTGCCTTTAGTGAACGTGCCCTATTGACAGCCTTAGCCACGTGGGGTGGACAGAGGCTGAATTACCCCCTCCTATCCTGGGCATTCACCCCTGAGTGACTAGCAAAAGGACAGTTATGTGCTAACAACATTACCTCCCCCCACCCCCCCAGTGCTGGACGGGTACAATCAACTGCTTATAAGGCTGCCCAGGGCTTTTCTTCTTCCCCACGGGAGCCTCCCTTCTTATGTTCTTCAAAAAAATGTCTCTCCCTTTTCCCTTCTAGGGGCCCCCTCCAGCACACACTTCCTTGTGCTCTCTGGAGTGGGGTCTGCCTCTGTTCAGCTCCAAAACGCTGGCAGCTGACAACTGGGTTAGACGCTTCTGTTACAGGCATCACTTCTCCCTCTCCCCGCCCTCCTTTGGCTCTGAGGGTGTGTTGCCTTTTGGTGCTGTGTAGGAGTTATTCTCACCTCCCCGCACATACACACACAGATACACACTGCTTTCTCCTTTAGCAGTTTCTGCGGTTTACCATTTCCTTCTGGACAAGCAGAATGTGAAAAATAAGAATCAGGCCAGGTGACTTCAGGAAAGATGGATCCCAAAATCCAAGGAGCCTGCAGAGAAGAGAGATTGTGGCTATTGCGCATGGTGATGGGGGAGCAAGATGCTCCACATCTCAAGGAGTTTAATTACCGACCTAGGCCATTTTCACATTCTGCCGTGCAGTCGAGGCCAGTGAGGCGTTGTCATCTGTAATCCTAGGTGACTTTCAATGTTCTGCTGCTGGAGCTCCCTTGTCTGGCATTGAAGGACGCACTGAGTATTTGTGAGATAAATAACCCTGGACCAGCAGCTCTGACTTCAGCAACCTGCTTATGGCACCCTTGACACATTCTGGCTTCCACCAGCCTTGGATACAACTGGCAAGAGATCGCAACACCCCCACTCCTTAATTTTCCCAAAACCATGTGCTCTGCAACGGCTACTTTCTCCTGGACCGTTCAGAGGAATAAGGATTGGTTGCCCTCAGAAGAGACAAATGGCCCAGCTTATCACTTTAATTGGAGATAGCTATCACTTGTATTCAAAGACAGCACCAGATTCATTTACTAAACGTTTAATCTAACAAAAGCATTTAAAGTCAGTTCAGATATAAACAATAGAGTTAGAAATGGTTACCAGGAAGTGAACAATGCTTTCTAGAGACTAGGACCTAATAAAACTACAGTCCTGGTCCAAGGTAAGATTCTTACCACACTATTTTCCACCAAGAGGGCAGACCACCCAGGGCCGGTGCAAGGATATTCTGCGCCCTAGACGAAACTTCCACTTTGTGCCCCCCCCTCACTTGCCCTGCCCCCC